ATTAACATATTTTTTTTTTCTTCCTCAGAAAAATAATTTAATCGAAAATATATTATGATATTTAATATGCCCTTTAATATCTTTAAGTTTGCTAAATTTGTCGTACATGTTTCTAATTGCTTTGAAATTTTAAATTGAAGTCTAAAAACTGAGATAATTAAGACAGTTACGGCTCAATTTTCCTTTTTCAGCCCATTCTCTTGCACCGTTACGCCATCTCTTTTATCTCTTTGGGCGCTTTCTCCGTCTCTTTTTTTTTCTCTGTTTCGCTGTTACGGGTATAAGGTATGGAAAGGATATTTCATGCGGTCCATTCCTTCCGCGCGCACCCGTTATTCTCTCGTGCGCGCGGGCCGGAAGGCAATTACCGGCTGAGAAATGTCTACAAAAGTGGAACGTGCGGGGGTGGAAATTTCGGGAGATCTCGTGCCCTTTGTGCCCAGCCGCATTTTAATTGCCCTACCTCTGTACCCTTTCTCTTCCTTTTCTTCCGTGTCATGAGAGAGTGTCATGGCCAGAGCTTTGTGAATTCGAGAATGCCACGAAATATGATTATTCAAGTGGTGTTGTAAAAAATTTTCCTTAACATTAAGCGAAAAATGAGATCAATACTGAAACATTTAATTTAAATTTGAATTTATATTTTGAGAATCGCGTATTAATGTTCCTATATTTTAAACAGAAATAAATCAACTTCAGACTGATTAAAACATGATATTAATATTCCTATATACATATAATGATCATGTTTTAAATTTAGTTTGTAATAATTTAAAATGTCGCTCAAGTTGAATTTTATTCTTACGATTTTATTATGTAATATCATGAATATGAAATGGAATATATAAAAAAGTCAATCGTCGAGCAAAAACTTTAAGTTATCAAGAATTTAGAGTTTATTTTAATAAACATAATGCGCTTTTCTTAATTAAAAATTATATTAAATATCGAGATTTACTGTTGGAACTTTTCTTGCGTCACAAGGACACATAATTAATATAGACAAATTTTTCGAAATAGTTTGAGAGAAAAACAGATATATCTTTCCTTTGCAGATCGAAAATAAATAAAGAATGGAAGTGATATTTATATAGCTGGAGTGGTGATTCTTCTTTGCGCGTTTCACGGGGCTCAAGCCAGCGTCTGGCAGGAAGGTAATTATGTAATAAGGAATCCGTCAGAAAATCTCGCGGCAAGTGATCTCAAACAGCATTTCGTCCGCGAATAGCCGGCGTTCGTGGTTTTCTGGTTTCGTTAATTACACCAGTCAACGGAAGTGTCACCGGCAGAGCTTGGCCGGCACTTCCGCCCGACAACATGCATGTAGAATGTCATTGTTCTACGAGAAATTTAATTTAAATCGCAGCTTAACAACGCATCCGACAGCTAGCTCTAACATGGCTCTGTTAAAATGAGACATAATTCCTTTCCCATTATTAAGTAACGAAGTTCGCGCGTGCGTAATTAATTTTGAATCATAAACACCGCGGTGCGCTGTAAGCCGATGATGTTAAGTAGATGGGAACTTGTAAACAATCATAATCATTGTGTTTAATTTCAAGAATATTAATACTTTTATTTAACGAAGCGCTTTCTCTAAAACTTGTAATCATTGACATAAATAATGTTAGAAAAAATGTTAAATAAATAAATTTGCTGATACTCTTAAATATAATTAAATATATAA